TTTGTCTCCCATGATGAATTCTCATGGCTGCCTCCTGAGACTTTCAGCCGCTGCAGACAAACCAACACATTTTTCACTCTGTCTGCTGCTGCTGCTTCCTCTCTTCTTCTTCTTCTTCTCTTTATTTCCCTCAAATTCAGCTCAGCTGATTCCTCTTCCTCCTCTTCTTCCTCCTCCAGGAGGAAAATGAAGTGGTGAAGGACGAAGAGCGCAGCGCTGAGCTGCACTGCAGCACCAGCTTCATGTTCTCAGCGTATAAACAGCTTTAATAAATTATTTTTTATTGTTTTAGTTCTACGTATCTTTTTTTTGTTGGTTTTTATTTTGTGAAGTTGCTTTATGTTTGTAACTGAACAAAATTCTTTGTGAAAGTTCTGGGTTTTGAGTTGACATCTGTATGTAATTATTTATTTTGGTAACAACTTTTTGCTTTTACTCCGTACATTTGAACAAATATTTGTATGTTGTAATTAAACAAAGCCGCTCACTGCTTATGTTCTCTAATTTCTTCTACACGAATCGATGATTTGAAGTGAAAGTCGTAAAAAAACGGAGGGAAAATCGACTGAGCAGAGATGAAGGTGGAGAAAAACACAGACAAGAATGAAGAGTAAAATGTGAAACATCGCAGAAAAACAAAAGCTTTCCCATCCACAGCTCTTAAAAACTGAGGCTCTGAAATGTCACAGGAAGTTTTTGCTGCCGTTTTTAAGAAACGAGAAGAAATCCAGTTTCTTCCTGCAGGAAAACTGTAAAGTCTAATTTATCCTTCGAGAAACTTCCTCTTTTCAAAACTCTTCATGAAAGGTGAATCTTCAGCCCTGTGATGATGATGGATGGAAACGGAGGAGAATAAATGACGATACAGAAGGAAACAGATAAGTGGAGATGAAAGAGGGTTTAGAGGAAGGAAATGAAGGTGAGGAAAAAGCAAAATGATTGCAGCTGTTTGCTGTTGGGCTGCATGGAGCCGGCTCCAAAAATTGGAAGCAGTGGCGTTCCGTAATCTGCCATCAGCCGCTCTGGACGAATTCAGGATGAGATCAAACTCTGTCCCACATTTAAATATGAAAGCAGAGGAGCGGCTGCATCACCTGGACAGTGACGATCAGCTGGACTTCCTGCAGGACGAGTCGGTCCGGATCGGCCTCTGATTGGACCTCCGCATGTCAGGAACATGTGGCATCGCTCCGGTTTCTCCTGATTAGAGTCTCGGCTCTTATCTGCAAACTGCCACATGGCTGCAGGCCGGCGTCTTTCTCCGCTTTGATCCGCCGGCCGCTTCAGGAAGTTTCCCTCTTCTTCCCTGAAACAAACAAACGTTCCTCGTCTACAGCCCAGACGTGCATCACTTCCTCATCCGGAGGTCTTTAAATCCTGTCCAAGTCCAGACAGGAGCGACGAGCCGCCAACACGGGAATGATGCAAAATACAACAAACAGAAACACAAAAAATAACAAATTCTACAGAAAAATCAACAGAAACAGAAAAAGTTTGCTGCATGTTTTTGCACCTATAGGCCTCCGTACGTCAGGAACCCGTTGGATCAAGTTTGAGATGAAGAATGAAAGCTGTGGTCTCTCTGCTTTAATCCAGTGATTCGCTCCACCTCTGAGACTCTGTTCTGATCCGGCGCCATCCCGGCTAATCACCACCCAGCCAAGCCTCTACCTGGAACTAATTACAACACGAGGACTCATTATCCGGTTCAGCCTCCTGCCATGGGCTGCAGGCTGACCCCAGCCAGCAGGGAGGGCAAAAAGTTCCTGACCAACTTCAGCTCCAGAGTTTAATCTTCTTCCGCCTGGTCGGCCTGGATTCTGGAAAAAAGAGCAATCTGAGACGTTTAGAGATGGTTTGTTCACTGAAATCCTTCCAGAACCTGGTGAACCTGCTGAAAGGCTGCAGGAGGTTCCAGCAGGTGAACTGTGACGTGGTGACGCGCCGATCTGATCTGCAGTCCAGCCACATATGGAAATGATCCTCTGATTGCATTAATAAAAGAAAAGGATGATTGCAATAAATCCTGGAACAAATCAGCAGCCGCCTGGTTCAGAAATACTAATGAAGGCAATAAAAATAAAGCAGAAACATTGTTGGAGTGACTCAGTAATCTGATTTCATTATGAGCTGCTGATGTGATTAATGTCTGCCGGCTGATCGCATCTTAAAGCTGCAGAAACTCTCCGTCTGTCTGTGTGTGTGTGTGTGGAGACTCTAACACCTGGCAGGATTTCCTCTCTGCTCCTCCAGAGGGAAGTTGATTCTCTTCACAGTCCAACATATTCAGGTTTTATTCAATAAAATATGCAAACATTCATCTAAATGTGTCTCAAAGATCTAAAACTGACAGAAATATTTTCTGGACAGAAAGTTTTTGCATGTTGTGACGCCAACAGCAGACGGAAAATTTTATTTGTTTTTAAGGCATTAAGAACCAATTTTAGCAAAAAAAAAAAACCAAACAAACAAAAAGACTCCAGAAGTGAATCTGCTGCTCCAATAACAACATCATCTGCAAAGAATGAAACCAAAGAGCGAGAAACTGACCTTTGACCTTCACCACCAAACAGTCCCTCTACTGTAGTTTATTGGAAATTTTCCAGAAACGGTCAAAGTCTTTACCAACTCCGACCTGCAGGTGGCAGTACTCCACTGAGATATGTCTGTGATTGATAAGTAACAAAAACGGACCTAAAAACGTTCTTTAAAGAATAAAAATACTGTTTTTATATGTATATTTTTAAAGGAATGTGGAAAATGTTGAAAAATTAAACGTATTTCTAAAACTGTCGCCTCAAAATCAGTGACTGCAAAAAAAAAAAAAAAAAAAAAAAAAAAAAAAACACTGAAAAACCCTGGAGGGACTGAAGCCGAGTGACTGTTCAGCTTCAGCTGTCATCAAATGTTGGTTTATGATGAAAGTTGATTATTTTTGTGATTCTTGTTATTTAACAGCTTCCTGGACTGAAGTCTTGATTTTAATTCAAATATAAACTGTTTCATATTTTTAAGGAAACTTTGAGGTTTTTTCAAAGCTCAGAAAAATCAAAACTAAATCCTGGAAACTGTAGATCCAGAACATTTAAAACAGAATCCAGGATGAGAAATTAAAAGAAGTTATGATCATTACAGAAACTAAATGGGTTCAAATCTGATAAAGTCCAAAGTGGATCTTTATTTAACTTTCCAAAGTGGAACCGGCCGATGGCTGACTGATCTCCTCCTGGCTCCTCCCACTGACCGGTGGGGGAGGAGCTTCAGGAACCTGCTGCTTCAGCGGCTGACCTCTGCAGGTCATCGAGTTCCTCATCAATAATGCAAAACCAGAGCTAGAGACGAGCTTCTGCACGCAGGAGGAGGAGGACCAGAAACCGCTCCAAAAGCAGGAAGTGGACTACAGCGCAGGGCATTCTGGGTAAATACAACCAAAGCTAACGCTAGCTAGCGCTAGCAGCAGAAATGGCTCCTGGTCTTTAGCCTAAAGAGAAATCCTCCAACCTCTAAAATCTCCATCTTGTTTCCATCTGGTGAAGAAGGAAGTTGCTCTCAGTGTCTTCAGAGGTTTTGGTGTCGTTTCCTTCAGTGGTTCTTGGTGCAGCGCCCCCACAGGCCAAGAGGGGAACAGGTTGGTTTGACTCAGAGCAGCTGGAGGTGGAGCAGATGTTCTGGTTCCAGTAGAACCGGGTCGACCGGACCGTCAGGAGGAAATCCATCTTAAACTCTGGACTTTAACGTTCACGTCTCTAATGAAGCTAAAGGTTCTGAGTTTCAGACTGTAGAACCCAGCAGGAGGTCTGAGGGAGTCCAGAGCCTCTCAGTGAAAACCCGCCTGATCGGTTCTGATCCGGTCGGTTCTGATCCAGCTCCTCTGACAGCAGCAGCAGGAATCAAGTCTCTGCTCTTTGACCGTGACGGATCCGTTCGCTCTCCAAAGCGTTTTACTCACATCTGAGATCCAGGTGTGAATCACAGAGACAATAAATGATTTTGGTTCTGCTGCCTGGAGTCCAAACGACCCGTCCTGCTAACAGAACCTGTTACTGTTAGCTGCAGATGATCATTATTTTACTGATCAGTTATTCTATCAATTATTCAAATAAAAGACTTTCCAGATGTTTCATTTCAACACTAAAACGTGTTTACACAAAATTAAAAGTACAAATAAACAAACAATTCAAATCTTAAGGAATAAAATAAACATTTTATTGCCTAAAAGTTAAACATCCCTTTAATTAATGTTGATAATTTGCAGCAAATGATTCATCTGCAACTAAAAAATAATTTCAACATCAACATGAGAAAAGCTCAGCTGAGGATCAATACAGTGATGACCTGGTGATTAATTATTGGTTAATTGATTAATAAATGGATGTAAAAGTTGATCAATAGGAGACTTTTAACACAATGTGAACCAGAAACTAAAACTGACATATAAGAATCCTGATTTAAAGAAAATAATTAAATGCAAAGTACATATGAGTTTATGATGCTGGCAGATAAATTATGGAAAATGTTTCTGGAAATGAAAAAGTCAAACATTTAAATAAATCTGACTGGAGCGGAGAAACAAAACGAGGAAATTCTGATTTACATTCAAGAATTTGGTTTATGTCGACATGACACGATCATTTTAAACTGTGAAAGAATGAAAAACAGAAATGAATGAATGAATATCCGAGCTGCCGCAGCAGAACCAGAACCAGAATGCGGATCCTGCTCTCCATCTGATTCTTTTTCTTTGTTCTTATATTTATTTAATAAAACAAACGAAATAATTAGTTTATTTCATAAACTAAATACCAAACACTTAGTTTGTTTTATTAAAACTCAGAGCATGGAAGTGAAAAATTAACCTTAATGTGTAAAAATCCGCAGAGATTCATGTTTTAACTCCAGGTGAGCACGTTCCAGCTCCCTGGCCTCTGATTGGCCCGCGCTCTCTGGCCTCCTCTCATTGGCTGATGCTGCCGTCAGTTCCCACCCAAGCCCCGCCCCCGAGCACAGAAATGCCTGCGCGCGGAGCGGCGCGTCACCAGACGGATCTGCGCTCGAGCTGACGGAGCGTCTCTGCCAGAAATGATCAGAACCCCGCGGACTGGACCCGAACCCGAACCCGAACCCAGCCATCATGGATGTGTGTAGAACCCTGGCGGCGCTGCTGTGGGTCCTGCTGCTGCGGCGGGTCCAGGTCTGCCAGGCGGAGGAAGGTAGGTTCCGCTGGGTCCAGTCCGGTTCGGTCCGCTCCGGAGCTGCTGGTCCTGACCCGAACTGGGTCAGGAGGAGAGGTGCACGGTTCGGTCTGGACCGGTTCTGGTTGAGTTTAGCTGCTGTGAGGCTGAAGTTGAAAGGTTCGGTCCAGAGGAACAGAAAGTGTTCCCGGGATGGGTTCGGGACTTTTCTGTGGTTCCTCTGTGGTCCAGATGCCGGGCGGTTCGGCCAGCAGGACGGGTTCGGTTTCTGGCTGCAGATCCAGGTCAGAACTCCGAATCCTTCCTGATCCACTCTGAGTTCTGTTGGACCTGGAGGTTCCGGTTCTGGAACCAACAGAAGCAACAGAACCTTCAGAACCTTTAGAACCTTCAGAACCTTTAGAACCTTCAGAACCTTTAGAACCTTCAGAACCAGAGTGAGCGTCGTTCCGGGCTGAGACGGACTGTGATGATGATGATGATGATGATGATGATGATGATGATGATGATGATGATGAAGGACTCAGATCTGGGATTTTTTTCTGAACAGAAGCAGCTGAACGGATCACACACACACACACACACACACACACACACACACACACACACACACGCTCAGCTTCCTGTCCGCAGGGACAACGGACCCGCTTGTCCTCCAGAACCCCGAACAGAACCTGGACCCGCCGCCGGATCCTTAACCTGATCCGGTTCCCTGAACACCAGGGAACGTTCCGGGTTCAGATCTACGCGCCGGTTCTCTAACTGATGACTGAGAGCAAACCGGTTCTGTTGGTTCTGTTCGGACCCCGACCCGTCTCTCTGGGTTCTGTTGTCTCCATTCTGGCGGAGTGTGTGTGTGTGTGTGTGTGTGTGTGTGTTTGGGATCCGACTCTTCTTTGTTTCTCCTCATCCTCATCTTCCTCCTCCTGCCCAAGAGCTGACTTAGCACACATCTGTGTGTGTAGGTGTGTGTGTAGATATGTGTGTGTGTAGGTGTGTGTGTAGATATGTGTGTGTGTAGGTGTGTGTGTAGATATGTGTGTGTGTAGATAGGTGTGTGTGTAGGTGTGTGTGTAGATATGTGTGTGTGTAGGTGTGTGTGTAGGTGTGTGTGTAGATATGTGTGTGTGTAGGTGCGTGTGTAGATATGTGTGTGTGTAGGTGTGTGTGTCCAGCCCTCCTCCCTCCAGGTCTCCTCACACCTCAGCACTAACACACCTTGGCATCTCATCGGGATCTCATTTACCCCCCCACCCTCCTCATCCTCACCTTCTTCATCATCTTCATCCTCCTCATCCTCACCTGCAGCTGCGTTTTTTCTGGATGATTTTATCAGCGGATGAATCAACATCTACACTGTAAAAACTCTGAATCTGTTTGGTTTAAATATCTTCATCAGCACAGGAGCCGTTTTAACTCAGTAACTAACAGTTGGTATCGGTTCTAAACTAACTCGTTTGTGTTGTTTCTAATGTGACAAAAGTTTTTTTATTCTTATTCTTCATTTATGTAACTTTTTAAACGGTGTTGATCTACAACAGTTATTTCTATTTCTTATTCATATAAAAAGCACCAGTTCAGATTATTTCATCCGTAAATTGAATAATCTGCATTTTATCAACACTAAGGGATTATCGCTCCTGTTTTTTTTTTTTTTTTGCTCTAGAAACTAAACAGAAATTCTTGGTAATATTTTAGTTTTTGCATCCAGGAGGGAAATGATCCGATCAGAACTTTAATCTGAGCTCGGAGGAGAAACGCTGCAGGTTTCATCATTTCACCAGAAACAGAAAAGTTTTCCTTAAGCTGCCAGTTTCCTGCTGTGGATGAACCGTGATGCGGATCTGAACGCAGAGATTCAGTGGAATCAGGATCAGCGGGTCGGTTCCGGTCCAAACTGACAGAAATGTGAGCAAAGTTTCCATCTTTCACCTGGAAAGTTCAGGCTTAACGTTCAGGACTTTATTTCTTCTGTCCGACTCGGAGTGAGAATCGGTTTGCCTGAAGGAAATTTTTTCATCGTCAGGTTTTCACTTTTACTGGATGGAAACATGAAGCAGGAGCAGAACCTGCTGCAGGTTCTGGTTTGGGTTCCATGTGAGGAACCAGACGTCTTCGTCAGACGTCTTCGTCGTCAGACGTCTTCGTCCAGCTGTCTGCCTCACAGCTGCAAACTTTGTTCTGTTTTCTTAAACATGAAGATCTTTGATGCTCTACCTGTTAACTCTGCTGGTTTCCAGAATAAACTCACAGGAAGTTTAAATAATTAAGCAGTGAATCTTAATACAGCAGAAACTGAGGAATCAGCCTTGAGGTTCTCCCTCATTAGCCACGTCAGAGACGCCGTTTAAAGCTTTAAACTCTACAAAATGAAACCAAAAGCTTCAACACATGAGAACCTCTGAGTTTTACTGAGAACTGGGAGAATCTCAGCATCGTATGGGAGCCTGGAAGGGACAATCCAACCTCTGTGAAGACTTTCACTCCTCTTCCTGGAGGGGGCGACGTGACGCTCCAGTTGGCCATTTTTTCTGTTTCTTTGGTAGAACTTTGGTTCAGATTTCATTTCAGGAGGCAGAAGCTGCTTCTGCCTGGATCACATGTCTGACCTCACAGAGCGCGAGCGGTCAGAGTGATTTGTGAACATGGCCGCCGCGGCGCCGCGGCGTCCTCCTGTCAGAGCCTCGGGGACGCCGTCACTTCAGCTGAGATAAGAGGAGGAAGGCAGGGAAGGTCAGAGGAACGGAGGATGAGATGAAGGGAGGGAGGAGAGGAAAACAGGATGAGATGAAGAGATGGAGGAGAGGAAAACAGGATGAGATGAAGAGATGGAGGAGAGGAAAACAGGATGAAATGAAAGGATGGAAGAGAGGAAACAGGATGAAATGAAAGGATGGAAGAGAGGAAAAAAGGATGAAATGAAGAGATGGAAGAGAGGAAAACAGGATGAAATGAAGAGATGGAAGAGAGGAAACAGGATGAGATGAAAGGATGGAAGAGAGGAAAACAGGATAAGATGAAGGATGGAGCAGAGGAAAACAGGATGAGATGAAGAGATGGAGGAGAGGAAAACAGGATGAAATGAAAGGATGGAAGAGAGGAAACAGGATGAAATGAAAGGATGGTGGAGGGGAAAACAGGTTGTTTTGAAAGGGGGGGAATGACAGCGGATCAT